TCTCTGGGAAGGTGGGCTGCTGTGCCCTGGGAATTGGTTGAAATGGCAGCAGACTTTGTGAGCTCGGGTGCCGGTCACTGTCCTTGTCCTAAAGCCAAGCTCTCTCTCTGTCTCTCTAGAGAAGGCTTTTTAAAGCATGGCGTCATCCTCGTGCTCTCCCAGATTCTGGACGACTCCATGTTGCTGTGCCGCAGATACTTGCACAAGACCTACAAGAACGTGGCCCAGGTGCCCAGAGGTAGGAGACTGCCCGTGTTTTTGACATTTGTTCGCAGCGGTAGCACGGGCTGGGAGCTCTAGAAACTGCCCAGAAGGAAGCCCCCACCTGGAGCAGTTTCAGGGCGGCTCCCCGAAGCCGTCTGAGGTTCCCCCTCGGCCGTTACTTACGCAGATGTCAATGAGAGAAACCGAGTCGGGGTTGCACTGCCTGTGGTTGACATTGGCTGCTCCATTCCTCCTTCCTGCCCGGCCCCATCTTCCTGCCTTCAAGGCTGAACTCTGAGGGGGCCTCCTCCAGGAAGTCTTCCTTGACCTTGGAGACTCTCCAGGTGAGGGAGATCTCTATTTTCTGTGTCGTCCGACTCTTCGCTACGATCACATTCCTCCCTGGTTTCATACTTACCTGTAGGCATATCATGTCCTTCCTTCTGCCCTCAACTAGAATGGAAGCCCCTTGTGGGCAGGGCCTGGAATGCAGTAGGAGTTTAATAAATGTTTGGCAACTCGAGGATGCTTGGCCTGCCTGTCTTCTAAGACATGATGTGGTGAGATAACCCCTTCAGGCAGGCCAAGGAGCTGAGGAGGAGGCCTTCACAGTATCTTGGAGAGGGGTTGAGGCCTCACATCAGGCTGGTGGCTGGGATGTGGCCAGAGCAGACTTGACCACACGTGGCAACAGAGGGAAGGGTTGAAGATGACTGAGCTTGTGACGTTGGGGGCCCACGAGAGAGAAGGACAGCTTGGGGTAGGGGCAGGTTTTGGCCGCTCTACTTAGAGATGCCCTGGGGACTTCGGGGGTGGATGTCTGCCAGGAGGCAGTTAGGACCCGGGTCTAGAACTGGGGGCGGGCGTGGCCAACAGCGTTAAGGTCTACCACGGGAGAGGTCAAGAAAGCCAAAGGTGAAGGAAAGAGCTTTGGATTCAGCTATTAAGAAACTTTGGAGGGAGCATCTCAGGGGAGTGGGGAAGCCAGACTCTGGGCAGCCTGGAGAAGTGGGGGGGAGCTCATTCAATGGCTGCCTTCTCTGGGAATTTGGCTGTGAAAGGGAGGAGAGGTAGAGGCCAGTTGCTTGCTTGTCCTCTCTGTAGGCAAGGGAAGGTCTGTGAAAAATCCAGGCTTCAGTTATTTCATACCTGCTGTGTTCAAGGCCTTGAGGTCAGAGGTGAAGGAGGGAGGACATGAAGGGGCGTGCTCCTGGAGCTGATGGTAGCAGGGCAGACCTGGCGAAGAGGAAGGGTGTGGGGGAGGTAGGCGGGGGAGAACTCCCAACAGAATCTGCCTTCTCAGGATAGAAGAGGGAGCAGGGGCACCTCTGGCTGTGAAGATGGTGTCAGAGGCCTGAGAGGATGCTCGAGAAGGGCAGTCCCCTGTCCAGGGTCTCCCGCCAGTCGTGAGGCAAGGTCTACCCTCAGAAGTGAAACATTGTGTGTTCACGGTCAGTGGAATTCCTGACCTTCCCCCCAAACCCTTTCTTTGACTGAATTTCCCTATTACTGTGGAGGGTCCCACTCTCCTCCTAGGTCCCCAGACTCACACCCTAGGAGTCATCCTGCACTCTTCATTATCTCTCACACCCTCCCCCAGTGTCCAAGCTAGTGCCAAGGCCTGTCAATGTTACCTTTGCAGAATCTCTCGAATACGCCCCCTTCTCTCCTCGGACACTGCGACCTCCCTGGTGTAGGTCTTCATCACCTCACATCTGGACTATTGCCATGGACTATGAGGGGGTCTCTCCCTGCTTCAGTCCATTTCCTCTTCAGTCACTAAAGTGATTTTCCTAAAATGCAGATGTGACCACATCTCACTGCCCTCCACCCGCCTCGCTCAATAACTTCAGTGGCTCCTTATCTCCTGCAGGAGCAAATACAAAATGCTGTTTGGCATTCAAAGCCCTTCAGAACCTGGCCCCTTCCTCCCTTTCTAGACTTCTTAGACCTTAGTCCAGAGACACTGGCCTCCTGGCTGCTCCTTACCCAGGATACTTCAAAAAAATTTATCTCTAATAAATGCTTGTTGACTGACTGATAAACATATATCCATGAATACAAAACATAGAAAATAAAAACAAGGTAACATAGCAGAGAGTGCCCAAAGGGTGCAGTGGCCACGGGGTGTGTCAGAGGCTGGCCTTTTTGGTGTCCAGGCTGCCTCTCCCCTGGGATCCTCAGCAGCTATGGCCCGTGCCTTCTCTCTGAAAAGGAGTCTGGCGGGAATGGACGTTCTATGGACTGGAGCCGAACCTTGTTTTTTTTGAGCAGAATGTTGTGAGTGTGAAAACCCCAGGGCCCAAATGGTGGTTTGGATTTCTAATACTTGGGGAGGCTTTTTTTTTTTAAATTCAAGGGCAGGAAGCTAAGGAAACTTAAGAGGCAGGAGAGGTGAGGAGGGGCAGTCTCCCAGGCAGGGGAGACTGCCAGTGCAAAGCCTAGGAGGTGAAAGGTAGAATAACAAGTAGGCCACTGTGCCTGTGTCCTAGAAGGGAGTAAACTATAAGAAAATGGGAAAGGTAAGAATGGGCCCTGGTGGCAAGGGCCTCAGTGGCCGACTGAGGGCTTTCTGTTTGACAGGTTGGAGGGAGCTTCTGGACTCCATCCAGTGGGCGTGGCAGGGACTGACATGGTCAGGCCTGGGCTCAGGGATCATCACAGGTGAAAGGTGATGAGGGCCTGGATTTGGGGGGTGGCTTTTGAGTGGAGAGATAGATGGGGTGGCAGAAATGGCGAAACAAGATTTAGCAGTGGATTAGATACGGAGGGGGAGAGAGAGCGGCTGACGTTGGGCCTAGGTTGGGAGCCTGGGTGCCTGGTTATTGCTTTAGTGAGAAGATGGGCTTCCCCTCTACCGCAGACTAGATAGAGGGAGAGAATGTGGCTCAGGCCAAGGGGTGTCAGAGGTGAAGAGGACAGAGGAGGGGAGTTGGCTGCCAGTGAGCTCTTTTCTCATTAAAGGAGGAGATGAGATCCTCTGGGAGACGTGGTTGTTTTGGCTTAAGGACAGAAGGGGTGGGAGCTGCCACCACGCGCTGAAGATGGTGGACAGCTTCCATGGCTTGGGCAAGGCATCTGGCCAGGGGGTTGTGGGCCTGGAGGCGAGGTGCTCCATTTGGAGATTCACGTTTGGAACAGAAGCCAGGACCTCCAGGTGAGGGGGCGGCCAGCTCTGCATCTGGGTGCCAGGTGTACAGACAGTGCCTTAATCTGCTGCCCTTGGTTTTTGGGTGTGTATCTTTGCTCCTCTGAACGTGCATCGGCCGAAGAGCACCCGCTGCCCATGCTGCCCAGCCTCTCTCTCCCTTGTCGTGCTGCTTGGCAGTGGCCATCACAGTCAGGGGCCGCTTGTTAGGGGAGGCCAACACCCATGTCTTATCTAAACCTTGTGTCTCTCCCCTTGTGTCCTGGACCCAGCTGGTACTTTCTACAGTAAGTGGCCAGAATTCTTCATTTTATCCACTGAGGACTAAGTCATATTCTATTCCTCCCTGAAATGTCCACTCTCTTCCTCAGGTCTAGCTTTGCAGGGAATGGTCAGTTTGACCAGCAGGTGGTGCTTAGGCACAGCCATTTCTGGGGAGGCTCCTTCTGACTTTCCCTCCCTTGCCCTGCCTGCATCCTTCTCTCTTCCTGCCTCTGAATCATTCTCTGAGCCTCCTCTGGGAGCACTGTCAGGGCCTGGCAGGCCTCCCTGCACCTTCCTAGGTGACGGCAGGAGGCGTGGTCCCTGAGCACCTCGCTCCCTCCTGGCTTAGGGCAGGTGCACGCCACACACTGAGGTGGGAGTGCCGGATTGGGAGCCGGGAACCCTTCGATCCCACCCATGGGAGATCGGGGACTGCTGGGGAACATCCTTGTCTTCTCACCCTGACCTGTTGTGAGGAACGTGCTTTACAAACCATCAAGCTTTCTAGAGAAGTGATCCCTCCTTTGGTTGCCTGTTGTGTGATGACCATTGCCTAACCCTAGTCAGAAAATCCTAGAACTTCAGAGCTGGCACAGGCCTTGTCGGAATCTCCCAGTTTATGTGCCAGCCACCAGGCTAAGGCTGGATGGAGTGGGGCTAGGTGGTGCCTAGCAGGGAAGTGTGAGGGGGCCATTAGATTTGATTGAGTCAGGGCTCAATCAAGCAAGTAATAAAGATTTAATTAAATGGCTAATATGTGCCAGGCATTGTGCTAAGTGCTGGGAATAGGAAAAGGAACAAAAGACAGTTCCTGTCCTCACGGAGCTTACAATCAAATGAGTGAGACAGCGTGCAAACCAATATGTACAAAGGAAAGGCCCTGGAATTAAGGGAGGCAGGGGAAGGCTTCCTGCGGAAGGTGAGATTTTAGTTGGGACCTAAAGGAAGCCAGGGAGGTAAGTGGTTGGAGCAGAGGAGGCAGAGCCTTCCAGGCATGGGGGATGCTAGAGAAAACACCCAGAGCTGGGAGAAGGAGGGTCTTGTTTCCACAACAGCCAGGAGGCCAGTCATTGGATTGAAGAGCATGAAAAGTACCTCGGGAGTAAGGTGTAAGGAGACTGGAAAGATGGGGGGCAGCTGGGACAAAAGGCTTTGAATGCCAAACAGAACATCTTGTATTAGATCCAGGAGGCCATAGGAAAGCACTGGAGTTAATAGAGTTGGGATGGTGACATGATCAGACCTGAGCTTTAGGAAAATCACTTTAGTGGCTGAATGGAGGGAGGATGGTCTGGAGTGGGGAGAGACTAGAGGCAGCCAGGACTCCCCCCTCAACCTTCTCGCCCCAGCCTTGCCCAGGGTTACTGCAGTAGTCCAGGTGTGAGGAGATAGGGGCAGGGTCAGAGGAGAGAAAAGGGCATATTGGAGAGATGTTGCAAAGGTGAAATCATCAGGCCTTGGCACCAGCTTGGATAAGAGGGGTGAGAGAGAGCAAGGCATCCAGGATGACTCATTCCTAGGGCGTGAGCCTGAGAGGCTGGGAGGATGATGGTACCCTCCTCAGTAGTAGGCAAAGTAGCAAGGGAATAGTTCTGTTTTTGGCATTTAAGTTTGGAAAATGA